TTAATACTCTTTACATCACATAAATGATTTGAGGCCAGTTACTCTGTTAGTAGAAATTCATTACTCATTAAATGCAGGGAAAGCATGGCTATACACAATAATTTTAAGTGCAATGCAGTCTTATAAATTTAATGTCTACACTTTATTTAAATGATATGAACAGCCATATAAAATTGCATATGATTAGAAAACAGGATGAACTCATTTTGCCTCCTGCTTGGTTTCTCATACACATGAATACATAATATTGTTATGCGCTGTTGTTCATAGATGTCTTTTTAAGTAAAGGGTAAGTATCATGTTATTTCAACGAATTATTTTTTGAATTCTGCATGTTATTTTTGTTTCATCAGATCTGTGCCCAAATTAAGTAATATTTTTTTCCAAAAAAAAATGAAAGTATCAGAAAAGTTATCCTGTTAATTTTGAAAAAACAAATTGAAGTGTAGTACATATTACTAGATAGGATGTCATTCCACTGGTCTATATAAACAAAAAAGCAACTGTTCTTGAAAATTGAAGCATTATCTTGTATAATTAATAAAGTACATCAAATCAGATTTGTAAATAAAATATTGTTTAAATCTAAAATATTCAATATTTTGATTAGATTATTTTTTTAAGGAAAAATATTTACCGTGTATGTGCTGAATTTTTTTTTAAATAGTTTTTTATAATTGCAATGGAAGGGCAATTGTCTCATTACAAGTGGTACAGCAGCCAATACCTGGGTTACTATTAGGTATACAAACAAGTGAAAACTGTGGAACAAGTTTTAAGCTCACTTTGGAAAAAAACAGTTCTGTAGAAATGCATATTTGTATTTGTTTCTCTAATAAATCTGCAAATAGCTTTAAACACAAATTAGTTTTAATTATTTAAATTTTGAGTTCTGTTAAGTAATTTAACACCTGTTTTGCCTTACCTTTTGTGAAAACATTGTCTCATGGAAATGAATAGAAGCTATTGTGAAAAATCAAGGTAGGTCTACACTTACTTGAAAAGGTCAGGTATTTAGCATTTAAGTATGTTTATTTCTAAGAAATGAATAATAAATTTGCATTAAAACAATACTCCCTGCCCTTTTGCCAAAATTATATTAGTTTGGCCACTGTTCAAACCAATAAAGAACTGATTTGCAACTGATTTAACTCAGTATCAAGCAGAAGAGCAGCAAATAAGTGAAATCACGTGTTTAAATAGTTGAATTATGTGATACTGATAATCTACTTCATATACAACAAGAATACGAGTTCTTCTGAGCTAGTTTTCAATCTTAAGATGATTTACACATAACTAATAAAATGTTATCTCCAAATACATTCATTTCCCTTGAACTGTGACTTTATAACAAGGATTGCTGGAAATGTTTTAGAATAAGCTTGGCATTTTTGTTATTTTACAGTGTCTATTAAAAATATTAAAATTGCTTGAAGATCAAGTTGTCTTTTTGCTTGAACAGAGATGCTAACTTTTTTTGTGAAGGGCTCAATTAGTATTACAAGTCTGTAGAATTATAAGGAACATTACAGTGAATTTTTCAGGTTTTCCAATATATTTTTCATTGTGGGAAGTATTTGGGGTGTCTCAGAAACGGAACCTCTTTAAAGTTTTTCATTGACTTATCCAATTTTACAGTACTCATTCTAGTCACTGTGTTTTATATGATGGGTAATTATAGCATCTTTCCTCTTAAAGAAATTCTCACATGGGAAACTTAAAAATAATGACTTCTCTAGTTCCACACTAAGATTGTACTGTTGGTTTTAAATGTTATGATAAATCAAGTCTTTGATAAGTAATAAAGTTTTCAATGACTATTATTAGGTATATTTTTAACATGTAACGGCAAGTTACATAAATATGTTTATTCTTTATGTTGCCTTTTTCATGAGATGTTAAGATCATAAGCCATTATGAGATCAATCCATGCAGAAATTATGTAACATAAGCCATTATTTTTATTTGAAGCTTAGTCAAGAGCTGTAATTTTTTTAAAAGATTGGTAGAACAAAAATTAATTTCTACCTTATATTAAGGGACAAATGAAGGAAAAAAAAGTAGCTTTGAAACTAGTATATTAAAGCTTTCCCACAGTATTTTCTAAATATTTTAGGAAAAACTTTGAATTCCATACAGAGTATATTTCATGGAATTGAGTCCTTAGTAAAGCAAATATTTGCTAATAAACTCACAGCGTAGGAGATACAACTCATAAATATCTCTAATATTTTGATCTTGCATTAAGACTCTGCTTTTTGCTCTTATTTTGCTCAAGTTTTTGTTTTTGAGAGGTATGTTCACACACAGGTAGCAGGTAAGCAGAGAATAAAGGCAATTGTCATTTTCAGCATCTATTTACTTCTAGACAACTGTTGGTTAAGTAAAAAGTGATTTCCAGTGGAAAAACCTGCTGTAATTCTCATTGTTTTGCCTCTAAAGAGAAAGCTCTTGAAGTTGAGCTTCCTGTGACCATTGACATCATAACTTTTTAAAAGTATTAGTTCTCTATGCACTACAAGCATTTCACCAAATTAAAGAACTTAAAGTTCATTTTTATCTTCAAACTATAAAAAATGATTTATGTGCTCTAGAAAATAGCTAAACAGAAGTGTTGCCATTATTTTAAGCATGTGCCTCTCCTTTCAAAGCCCTAAATAATTGCCAGTGCAGTTATTTCTGAGCCTAAATTTTATTTTCAATAAACAAGTTTTTTTAATTCTTTGTAATCTGCTCAATATAGGATCTATCTGATTTGTGTGTGTAATAGAATAGCTTGAAAATTATACTCATTATTTCTTTTAATTGGCATCTCAATGTGTTTTTAATGCATTGGCTCAGCTTTTATTTACTTTAATTTTCTTTGTATGTTTAAGGTATTTGAAGTTTTTGTAGACAGGGAATTTTTCTGTCAATTTCTGGAACTACTTTTATATACTGATGAATCCAATTATTTTATTTTTTTATGATTGGTGTGTGTGTGTGTGTGTGTGTGTGTGTGTGTGTTTGAGAGAGGGGGGAGGGAGAGGGAGAGGGAGAGTGTTGTGATCCCTGAACTCAGGACCTGGGCGTGAT